TTGGATGCAACCATTTATTAGTTGAATGATGAGTTAAGCAATGGTCACTCTCCTAAGTGAGAGTCTGTCAATAGCAGATTTGATACTGGCCCAAGTTCTCCATGGAGAAGGTAATTTACGGTTGGGTGTTTTTTTTTTTGAGCATAAAAATGACCCTCTCCATCTTAAAACTTGAAACTTACATTTGCCTTATCAGAGTTTGCTCCTCAGAAGACTGACCCCAGGCAAGGGCCTCAAACTCACCAGAAAAAACACTGCATCGGCCGGGCTCAGTGACTCAACCTGTAATCCCAGCACTTTGGGAGGCCAAGGCGAGTGGACTGCCTGAGCCCGCAAGTTTGACCAGACTGGGTAATTTGGCGAGACCTCATCTCTGTGAAGTGTTTTATGTGTTTGCAGTGTTCAAAATGTTTGAGGTTTAATATTAATGATTTTAGCTTGGGTAAAACTCCATTTTGTTATAGAACTCCATTTTGTTTGCTTAAACCCATGTGGCTGATGTAACATTTTTAAAGTTTGCGTGTCATCGACCCCCATGGCCCTGTACCCTCCTAGTGCTCTTCTTTATCTGAGTTGCACCCCTGCCTACCCTTGCCTAACTCAAAACCAGATGTTTTATCTCTAAAATTCCTCAGTTTGCCTATAAAAAAATATCTGAAAGTTTACTCGGGGTCGAGAGATTTTGGTGGTGCATGCCCCCTCTTGACTGCTGGCTACTAAAGGACTTGGAATTTGACCTTTTACTGTGTGTGCGACTTGGTTACAACATCTACAATAAAATAAAAAATTAGCTGGGTGTAGTAGCGCATGCCTGTAGTCCCAGCTACTTGGAAGACTGAGGCAGAAGGATCCCCGGAACCTAGCAGGTTGACACTGGGGTGGCCATGTATGTTCCACTGTACTCCAGCCTGGGTGACAGAGTGAGACTTCAACTAAAAAAAACCAAAACCAAAAAAAAAAAACCAAACCAAAAAACCCCAGTGTCTAGACCATGAGACTCTAGACCTCTTAACACAATTGCTTCCTTACCCCTCCCTCCCTACTTTTTTATGTTTCTTCTCCACTGTATAAACCCCCAATTTCAATTGGTTGGGAGATAGATTTGAGACTGACTTCCCACGCTCCTTGGCTGATAGCACCCAATTAAAAGTCTTCTTCCTTGGCAATACTCGTTCTGGCAACTGAATTTTGGACAGTGATAGGACCTTTCCCGAGTTCCCAGCATTTCATTAAGTTTAACAAAACCCGGAAATCCAGCAGCTAAGTTCATCTTACTTGACATCATCCACTTCAGATGTTGAAGGGACTGAGGTGCTATTGTGATTGCTCTTGCTATGGTTTCTTTTTAGCTTGGTCGTGAGGTTTCTGTCAAGAGTGACCACAAGTGAAGACAGTCACTCTCTAGGAGAACCCTGATGAGGCTGCAAGTGTGTAGTTAGGTTTGGGTATGTCAGGTGAGACATGAGGAGGAGGTGAAACCAAAATGCATGAAACAGAAATTTTTTACTCACAGATCCCAGAGAGATTAGGGGTGGGCCGATGGAAAGTTCAGAGGAGGCAGAAAGCTCAACCAGCAGGTGGGGAACAAGTGAGAAAGAACCTGTGGGTCTATGCTTTTATCAAGGTCCAGAGGCATCACTCCTCCACCCCCCCCCATAGGCTTTCCCATGGGGGGTTGTGGATTGGCTGGTTTAAAGAAAACACGTGCAAAGCAGGACCTTGCTACAGGACTCTGGAGCTGACCATTAGGACTTAACATGGCTGACAGCTGTGAGGTATGTTGAGCTCAGGGGTCAATGACACGAGGAGCCAGTGGGCGCTGGGTGGCAAACAGTCACATTGGGGGTGGGAGAGAAGGTTTAAAGAAGGCCAAAGAGGATGGGGTACAACAGGGTTTCCAACAATTTATGTCAGGCCTAAAAGTGGGTGTTTATTAAACACATTTATGGCAGGCGTCTTTTTGGTATGTGATGTCACAGGCCGTCCATGCACGTCTGTATTCAGTTCCTTCCATTATGGTGGTTTCCCTTCTCAGTTTCTGAAGAGACAGGGTAGTGGATGGATGGATGTTGACTTTTCCCTTACCCAGGGGACATGTACCTTTCATTACATTGGCCGAAATTACCATTGCCTGTACATCCTTACCAGAGCTTTGGGAAGTCTGAGGTGAAGTTGAAAAACTGAGGCTGCAATCTGCTGTTTAATTGCTTACAAAGAGTTGTAGGCTTGTCCATAAACAGAAGCAAATATATTGATATGAATTAGCTAGTTCTTATACAAGGGGCAGGAGGGGACCCAAAAAACCCCAGAACTACAGGCCTTCCCCGGTAGGTTCTAGGAACTCATCACCATCAGTGTACCAGTTAGTGTTGTGAGTGGCTGCATTTGACTCCAGTGAATTTTTTTTTTTTGAGTCTTTCAACATGTTTGCCCATTTCATGATGGTTGATTTACAAGCACACCTGCCCATACCATGCTGAATGTTTAGTAGTTTTTGACCAAAAATGGTAAGACCTCCATGCCCCAACCTCAAACAATCTTGCCCAGAACGACTTATTTTTTGTTTCCCTGTATTAAAAGAGTTCCAAAGGAAAATGTTTTGCCAATATGGAAGAGGTGAAGTCAATGACAGAAGCACTAATGGCATCAAAATTGACGAGTTCAAAACTGTTTTGAGCGGTGGAAAAAGTGTCTTGATAGGTGTATTGCATCAAATGGAGAGTACAGTGAAGGTGACTGAGGTTTAAACATATAAGAATAAATACACAATAAATAAATTCCGGGTCTTTTGGGGTCTCCCCTCATATATGTACTGGGTGTGCCAAAAAATGTACACACATTTTAAGTGATGTTATCTCTTTATTAGTTTTAGTCTACCGTAACCAGAAGCTTCTAGACGCTGATAGCAACCACTTTGAGCACCTCTTGTAATTGCAGAAGTCAAACATGACTTGTATTCATTTTTTAAAATCAGTATATATTGAGTATTAAAATTTTAATACGGCTTTTTCCTTTCTTAAAATGTGTGTACATTTTTTGGGCACCCTCTGTATATGAACATAATATAGTTTTTAAGCTTATGGGGCAAGAATGAAATGTTGGAACCTAAATACTTTCCCAAATGCTACATGCACCACGTGAGTATCATTAATATAATGAGCAGAGACACCAAATATTTCTGGTGAAGGCATCTCAGCTCAGTAAGCCTGAACCTTGGGAACATTAACTAGGTTCTAAAGCAGTAAGAACACTTGCATTATATACATCAGACCACTAAATTAAATATTTTGCAGGTGAAAAATAATGATACGGTTTCCTGAGATTGTTCCTGGAGTTTTAATTCCTAATCTTGGTATTATTTTCACTAACTTTTCTCCCATTCTTTTAAAATGGGAGAAAATGAAAACATATGGTGCAATGTTAGCCTGCATATTTCCCTCTAGACCAACAATATGAGGACTCAAAAAAAACAAAACAGTGATAAAGACATTTTATTTCCACTTTACTGGAAATTTTTTTAAAGGGAAAGAGAAAATAGTAAGAGCCCCTCCATTAAACCAGGCTGGAAACTGTGTCCAGTTTGTCTTCTGTTAGAGAAATCTTGATAAGTCACAGAGACGAGTCAGCAGGTCACAGCCAAGGCACCACACTTGCAATTAATTTATTAGGAACTCATCATTAGTCACCCAGAGCTTTCAGAAAAGTGAAGTTGTCTGAGAGCATGTGGTTACACCCCTCAGAGCCAGAAACATTGAACTTGGTAACAGTTACATTTTGTTCTTGGACTAAGAAGTAGTTATAGTGACAAGGTACAAAAAATAAGCATGCAGCCCTTTATTTAGTTTTGCAAAGTCTCTGCTTATAGTTCTGTATATTACATGACTGTGTTATACAAATACATTTATTTACAAAAACACTCTAGCTGTGCAAACTCGTTGCTTTTTAAAAACGTATGGATATAGTCCAATTTCTGCTCATCCCAATATATACTTTTAAAGCATGCATAAAAATTAACTTTGGTGTGGGAAAACTACTCTGTGTGCTGTCACGTACAGTATTGTAATGTCTATTTATATTTATATATTTACAAAAGTTTATCGGTTTACAGAACCGTACAGAAGTGTACATTTTAAAATCCACAATGCAATAGCTTGGGTTACCAGGTCTCAGAAAACATAAGAAGGGGTTAGATACTGCAGAGAAAACTAGAAAAATCTCAATATGTTAAAAAAAAAGAAAGAAAGCAAGAAAGAACAGAAGGAAGAAAGAAAAAAAGCAAGCAAAGAAAACTAGCTTGCTTGGGCTAGCAAATTATCATACATACTTTTCACGGCAGTGCAATAGGTTTGATAAATTGCCTTCTACGTGGGCTTCTATGCCAGCCTGTGTAGAAGTTCATTGGCTTATATAGTCTAGCACACTACTTTCAAATGTACAATGCTATAGTATCAAAATGTTTTGGCAAAAAAGATCTCGAAAGGAACCATGAAGTTTTGACAAAAATAGAAATCTGTAATAAAGCTAAATAACACTAAAATAAAAGGAAATATTATAGTATCTGTTTTACAATTTGTATAGTCACACTTGTGTATTTCTCTGTTCACTTCTAGTCTCCGTAATGAAAAATATTTTTATACAAAACATACTAAAATTCTGGAATCATACATGTTTTACATGCTTAAGACAATTTTCCTGTCTCTCACACGCCATTCCCTCTCACCATACTCTCTTTTCATAACACATGCTTACTGCATCGAGTAGGTATTGACTATAGACAGTAAACACTATGTAGTTACAACAGCAACAAGGTAAAAAAACAGAACAAACGAGCTTTACTGAAATCTATCAAACCAGTATTTAGCACATACTTAGCATTAAGCCTCAAACAATACAGCAATATGTTACATTCTCTTGTGAAAATGGTTGTTGCAGACTGTTAGTTTTTTTTCTTTCTTTCTTTCCTTTTTTTTTTTTTTTTTTTAAATGTTACTCCAACTTGTGCCTAAAAAGATTTGGCCTTTAAGAGGTTTCCTTTGCTGTGGATGGGGTGCCTTTGCTTGAACTTCCGTTCTGTGCCTTGTAGCTGGTGAGGCTAGGAGTGTGGATGGTCCTGACGCCCTTGGCACCTTGGTTCAGTGAGATGGAGGAGGCAGGGGATGGAGGGGAGGAGGAGGAAGAGGGAGGAGGGGGTGCTCGGCCATTTTGACTCTGCAGTGAGAATGAAAGATGGTGACCTTTACCTGTATGAGTGGGGCTCTGAAACTTTAAGGAGCCATTAGAGACGGAAGGGATGAGGGAGGTAGAGTGAGCAGGTGGTCCTGTTTGGGGGCTGAGAGGGTTAGAAGTAACCGACGGTTTAGGAGCAGATGGATTAGGGAGGTTAGAGCTGTCACCGCTAGAGGAGGGCAGAGAACTGCTTTTCCCGGAGCTGGGAGAAAGGGCTGGAATCTTAGAAGCGGGTAAGGAGGGGGAAGTAGGCTTAAAGTCCCCACCAGCTTTCTTAGCACTTCCATTAGCCTGCAAATAAAGATGGCGGGAGACATTTTGTCAGAAAGCTGGTCACACGATCAACCCACAGGGCCTGGCAACACAGCCCTTCTGAGAATAATTAATCAAAAGAAAAACAACCAAACAGTTCAAGGCCTGAGCTAAGTCTTGTGCTGTACCGGACCTGGTGGAAACCCCCCCACGCACGTAGCAAAGGATAGACAGGACAGGAGAAAAGGAAGGACACGTTTGTGAGAAGAGTCACATCATTCTGACTAGCATTTTCCGTGTGCCAGGTGGGCCATGCGTCTGGGTAACGACTGGGGTCGGGCATAGTGACGGAGTGTTAATGTGCTTCGAATGCAATGCAGTCAACATAGACGTTAGTACTGGTGACTTTTAGGGCAGTTCAACAACAGGTTGGTTGTCTCTGCTTCCCGAGGTGTTCTGACGAAGCACTACATTCACCAAAGAAAAGCCAACGGGCCTGGCACCGTGTGTTAACAGTTAAAATTTGGAGTCACAAAGTAAAAGATGTTTTATTGCAAGCATGCAAAAGCGTGGTGAAAAAGTTTAACAAAGGTGTTTAGACTTTCTTCATGCCCCCAGATCCAGGATAGCTACGTAAACCATATCTTACGAAGAAAACACACAATATTTGGTATTAAACCTAAGTCAGTGACTTGCTTCTTAACCAAAATAGCGTCCATCCAAAATTGGGTTTAAGGTAAAACTACCTGACGGTATTGGCGGGGGTCCTGCAGTTTGGACTGCTTGCCGGGCTTGTCCAGGCTGCCGGGTCTATTCTTGGCACTCATGGGGACTGGCATCCTGCTGGTCTGCGGGGTCCCGCTGGAGCCCTGTGGAAAGGACCGCGAGAGGGGGAAGAGAAGAAGCAGCGCGTGAGTGATCATCCCTGAGGCTGCCCTACTCTGTGCAGAGAAGCTCAAAGTGAGTAGCCACAGCCCTACATGCAGGACAGATCTAAGAGACACCAATTGGGTTAATCGGAAGAATCAAACAGAATCAACTGCTCACTAATGATCAAACGGATTTTAATGTGAGTGTCAGAGCAATCAATTTCAACAGCACGTGGCTGGCCCGGTAGCCTTGCGTTTACCCAACACCAATCAGCAACAGAGGTAAAAACAAAAACAAAAACAAAAACAAACAAAAAACAGGATCAATTAGCTGTTAGACACCTAGTTGTTGTTGTTTTGAAGGTAAGGGAGATAGTATGAGAGAAGGGTCATGGCGAACAGACAAAAAAAAAAAAGCCACCTGAAAGGAAGCAATTAAATCACAAGACACCTTTGGCTAATGGTGATTACAGCAGATTTAAGAAAGCAGCTGGGTCTTTTCATTTTCCACTAGACCAAGATACCTTACGTGAAGCTGAAGGTATTGACGTGGGGGGCTCTAGGACAGTGGGAACTTCATCCGGAACTAGCAAGGGCCGGGGACAAGCCTCCTGGGACATGTGGGATGAGCTTGCAACAGAATCTCTGTTGGAGGAACATGAGGTATCGACTAGGGCTTTGGGGCTCATTTCACTGATCGTGTTCTCGAGCTGTTTAATGGTCTGCTCCAGGCTGTCCAGGGTCCTGTAGGTATTTTTCCTGATTTCATCAGTTCTTGAAGTCTGAGAGGTGCTCTCAACCCCAGGCTGCTCTTGTCTCTTGGCCATAGTTTGAGGGGTGTCGTCAGGTTGAGACCTAGTGATTTCAAAGCGCTTGGCTTCTTTGTGCTGTTTCAAAGTACCATCCTCTTCCTCCTCTTCGTAGACTACCACCTGCAACGTCTTCTTCCCTGTTTTGGTTCCTGTGCGAATGGCTTGAGTGAGAGCGGCAAGTTGCTTTTTGGGGAATTTGAATTTGAACTTTTTCTTGGGGCTTTCAAACTGGTCATCGGTCACGTCATGCCCCTTGCGCTCTGAATCTGGAGAGTGTGCGGGGCTGAACTTGCTTAGCTGGGGTGTATTTGTTTCTTGTCCTCCTGGGATTTGGGTCTCTGCTGCCAGGGTGTGAGGCTGTAATTTTGTATCCACCTGCTGTCCAGTTCTAAGACTGGCTGGGGCGATCTTCTTAGGAGACATCTGAAAAGGGCCGCTGTGGACTACGGGGTCTCCATTTTCCTCCTCTTCCTCCTCCTCCTCGATCTTTTCCTCTGTCATCATTCTCTCTAATTCCTCATCACATTCCTCAAAGATGGTGGAAAGTCTCTTATAGGCAGACCGGATGTCCATGGGCTCGTCGAAAATAATGATCACTGGTTTCTTGTCTAGGCAAACGACTGGCTCTTCGCTTTCACTCCCTTCCTGTGGGGAGCTCGTCTCTTTCTTGGCGTCGATGTTGACAGTCTGTACATCTTCTCCCTTTTGGCTAACGATGTCGTGGACCTCCCCGCTGGAGAGGACCTGCACAGTGGTTTTGGTAATCATGAAGGCAATGTTGTCAGGAGCTGCATTTTCTTCAGGGGGAGAACTTGGAGTTGATGCTCCGTCCTCATGAGGGTTCATACGAGCAGGCCTAGCTCCCTTGGGTCTTAGAACGACTTGGCCAAAATCTGTCCTGAGAACCTCCTGATCTTGTGTTTTGACACCACGTACACTCGATTCCGTGGATCTGGTGGGAGAGGAAATGTGACCCTTCTCTGAATTTTCTTGTCCTTGCCGACCTGTCTCTTTTGTCCTTCCGTGGTTCAGCTTCGGAGTCTCAGAGTCAGGTAGGGAGACTTTAGGCCCTTTGTTTATTTCATCATCTAACGAACTAATGCCAGAGAAGCTGAAATTGACGTTAGGCACATTTTTCTGGGAATAGTTTCTGCTGTCTCTGAGTAAACTCATACTGAATGTGGCATTTTCCTTCATGAAGATGTCAGGCTTATAGTCTGATATTCTTGGTGCATCAGAAAGATTATTCTCCACTCCTCTTTCCCACTTGGGAAGTTCACTAGGTCTCAGGGCCCCTGTGGTAACCTAAGAGGGAGATGAACACACATGAATCAGGAATGGATGATTAATCCAGAGGAAGGTAAGCAACTGCATTGTATCCGTTGGAACACAGATCCCTACACTCACCTTTCGGGATTCCATTTGGGGACCATTTTCATATTCAACATCAGATTTCCGTACATCTTCATGGAAAAATTCCAAATTCTGGTAGGACAGTGTAGGACATGTTACTCCATAAAACCGCACGCCCCCCCCAGGTGGTCTATCACTAAACGGTTCCTTTAATAACATTTCCAACACATGCTGGACAAGCACATTTGTCACACACCAATCCAAAGCCTATAGCTCTGTTTACCTTTTGTTGCTTTGTTCTCCAGCTTCCAAAAATGCCCTGTGTTTGCACGAGATGAAAATCTCCATTAGCAAAATATTTCAAGTATTTCAGATTTTGTGGGGAAGCATTAAGAGAATCAAGGGACCGATTCTGTATCAACATGTCCACTTTTCAACATTTGATTGTGTGCTTAGTAGATCTAAAATCACAAGTATTGTAGCAAGTACAAGTGTGGTCTGGCAAAGGAGTTTGAACCAATTCAGATCTGCCACTTAACTGAGGTACTTTAGGTAAGTCATTTCACTTCTCAGGCCTCAATTTTCATGCTTATTAATGGAGAACTAGACAAGGGTTTTTTTTAGTTTCCCTGTCAGCTAGTTATTTCAGTCCTATCTATGCTTTTTTTTTTTTGAGTTGGAGTCTGACTCTGTTGCCCAGGCTGGAATGCCATGGCACAGTCGCGGCCACTCCAGTGTCAACCTGCTGGGCTTTGGCGATCCTTCCATCTCAGCTAGAACCACAGGTATGCGCTACCACACCTGGCTAATTTTTGATTTATTGTAGAGATTAAGGTCTCACTAAGGTGCCCAGGTTGGTCCTGAACCTGCGGGCTCAGGCGATCCACCTACCTCAGCCCCCCAAAGTACTAGGATTACAGGCTGAGCCGCTGAGCCTGGCCTCTCTGCTTCGTTTATGGGAATTTTCCTATACAGACATCTGCATTGGTTGGGTTTGGTACTTTGGGATAAAACACACATTATTTCTCCCTGGTCAAATGACAGATTGAAAATGTTCTTGCAGTTTGTACAGAAAGTGTCAAAGTGTCCAAATGACCTTCACACTGACTGTAGCCAAGATGTTCAAATCTGAATTCACAGTGATAATGCTATCATAATATAATCTAAACATTTACAAAGACATTTGAGGCTAAAACGGCGACTTGACATCATGATTCAGCCTTCATCCTCTATATTTTCCAATGCGGAGCGAAGACACACTTCTTAGGGTATCACCAAGATCCAGGGCTGAAGGATCTAGCAGCGTGGATCCAGGTACTCAGAGTGCTTTGCCTAGAAGCACAGCCTTCTCCTGCTTGGCTGTGTCAGAAGCCTCTGGCCCTCCCCTAACACTGACACTAGCGGGGCTCTGCTGCCCTTTCTTCTTGCTGCTTGTAGAAGCCCAGGAGGAAGAGGTGATTGGTTACAGCAGGATGAAACACAGTCCAAATGAAGGCTGCTTGGTTAAAGCAATGACGACACAAAGCACAACCACCCAGGTTGAGCCCCAGGCAACCCAGAGCAATCCTACGACCCTGGTTAAAATGGAAAGAAAGTTCATACCCACCCAAGGCATAATACACAAACAACAAAGTCAGTATTAATCACATGAAAATGTTGTACAAGGTACGAGGTACATTAGCCAACAAACACCCCCTGTTTAACTTCCACTTAGTCCCCCATAAAGACCCCCAAAGAAGTGCAGTAATTCAGCTGCTGCAGTCTAGCCATGTAACTTCTTCTGTAGGATTCTTATTTAAAATATAGAACAACTAACACATCAAGTCAAAGGTTTTAAAGAAGAAAAATAGATAAGAGTCCAGTTATCCAAGCTACTGGGAGGTGGGACAATCACTTGAGGCTAGGAGTTCTAGGCCAGTCTGGGCAAGATAGTGACTGAATTCTTAAAGAAAATAGCATTTTTTAAAAATGAGGTTTCAGCTTAAGGCTTCAACTCCAAACACAGAGTTAGCATATCACAGTAGGACAGAGTGAGAACTTGCCCTCTGAATCAAAGAAGGAATTGACATGTGATCCAAAGAAGGTATACTCATGACTGATGCTTTGTGTCCCATTTACCGGGGGTTAGGGCTGGCATGTGTTCTGGTTGGTCAGTGCCCATGCCATTCCCATCGATAAGTATTTTGAATGCGTGTTTTAAAGCTGATCAGGTAGCAGGAGTATACCAATGGAACATCACTAAGATAAAGATTTCAGGTTTAGGTTTCAAGTGACCGAAGCCTTTTATCACCGGGCTAGAAAAAAGAATGACTATCAAAGCAAGTGCATGAACTTGGTTACAAAAGTCATGTAAACTCACAATGATTTCTTAGTCTTAGGCAGTCAAGACTGCGTGAAAGGTAATTAAGTCTCATTAATCTCTGTCAATAGGCCCTAAGATCTGAGTTATTTAGACAACTAGGGAGGCATGTTCAATATGCATATGGGCAATAAACCCAAATGAGAGACACGGTTATAGGGAAATGACATATAAGTGGAGTTCACCAGGTGGGAGCTTCGTGACAGAGGAGAAATATCTAAGAAAACATTTGCTTTATGGAAGGGTAAATGAAGAGCCCAGGAAGAGATTAATAATGACAAAAATTAGGGAATAAGCTTGATACTCATGGTTTTTATGAAGTAGGCCAATCTACTGAGTATAATTATGCAGAATGAGCACCTGTAACTAAACCCAGTGTTGGGCACTCACTCAATAAGTTGGTTACTTATTATGTAGTGGCCCCTTGACTGAGATCAATGAGGTCATTGGGATATGGATTTCTAACTATGAGGCAAGAAATCTCATGCAACTTCCTAGCACATTAGAAAAAATCTGCAGTGAGATGAAGATTGTCTTCAGAGGAATCTTCAAGAAGTTCCAAGTTCCCAGTCAGCATTCTAGACAGAATGGTCCCATTGGCCCAAGCATAACATGCCATGGCATATCATGCCTTCTATGAATTGGTTTTAATAGGGCCACATAAGGAAATTCCACATACTGACAAAGCAATATATTTCTGATGTGATTTCATGGGCTCAATTCAAATTAGCAGAAGGTTTTTCTCATGAGAAAGATTTATTAATCATAATCTTCCCTGGTACAGAGCAAGATTCCCTTTCTTTCCCCACCATTAATGGTGTCACAGGTCAATTACGTGGCTGATGTAGTTCATACAAGGGGGCCGAGATGGCTGAGAGTCAGGGAGACGTAGACAACCTCGTTGGCAGGGCCTCTTGGCTGTGAGCTGTGAGCCCAGAACTGTGTCTCTTGAAGGGTGTGTTAGATAGAAAAATCCTCTGATTCTGTGACTTCCAGCCATCTCCCTCAGCTTACTCACACATGGGCCAAGGTACCCATTTGGGGTAGCTCTTGGACTGCACTGTAGCTGATTAGTTTGACTTTCTTTAGGGAAAGCTAGAGTCTTTGGATTCTGAAATATACGTTCCTGGTGAAAAATTTTAGAGCCGGAGTTGGTCATCACAAGCTTTTTAATCCTGAGATTTTGACAGAGGCTTAATTCAAATATTATAGTTCTATGTCCAAAAATCATAAAATCCCTAGATTAAAATTAAAGTTGTAATTCAAACATTCAGGCTGCTGTTTCCCTAAAGAACTTATACAGTAATAGCAGACTTTGTTTTTAGAGCCTGGACATCTTTTTTGAAGCCACGAATATTAATTTAGCATTAAGACTATACTGAACTATCTTGGAAGGTGCACTTAAAAATTTGGTAATATTTAGCAAAAATTCTATTTGGCATTCTTGGACACATGTGCAAATACACACTTGTATGTTTCCTAGGGGTGGGGCAGGCATTTTCTTCCCCAAATCTAAGGTTTTTAATTTATTTTTAACATAGTTGTTTTTTCACTCAATAAACATGTTAAAAATGAGAAAACTGCTACATTCTTGGCTGCTGTTTCTATTTTTTTCCAGAATTGGTCTAGACAATCTTGAAAGGTAAAAACTCTCATGCTTGGGAAGATATTATCTAAATTCTGCATACACTATTGTATACTGTGTGTAGGAACACAGCGTTTGCTCTGGAAACCTGAGCCAGATATCTCTGATCTCAATCTAAATCTGGGTCTCCATTTGTTTAAAAAAAAAAGCAGAGAAAAAAAGAGAGGGCATGAAGGTCAAGAGCAAGAGAGCCGTGTTAGTGTCAGAGCAAGGAAGGAAGGACCGTCTAGTTGTGTGGCAAATGTGTGATTGCCACGTTACCTTCTTCTCCTTGGGTGGGACTGTGGCGCCCGGCCTAGTGTCTTTAACGTGACTGTCAGCCCGGGACTGCTCAGCATGACTGTTTGAATTTACATCCATAAAGGAACACTTCTGGAATGCCTGAGGAATTAAAATACTTAGGTTAACAGGGATCCAAGTTACTGAGGAGAACGGAGAGAAATGGATAGAGAAGAACCAGAGGTGTGGGGATCCCAGCCCGGTCCTGCATGCAGGTCATGCCAGGGAGGCAACACCCTGACATCCTGCTCCCATTAGCCTCATTCCACAAAGCTGGCTTGGGGCTGAGCCCAGGCCAAAGGCTTCCCTCCTTTCTTGGCCATGCCAAGATACAACAGACAATATCCTTTCTTCCTATTTGGAGGCACCTGATTTGTGCTCAGTAGGGCTTCTTGCTTTGGCCTTTTAAAAATGTTGAATATACAAACGAACTTAAAAAAAAAGAGCTATCTTTTTTTCTTTTTTCTTCCTTCTTTTCCCCCCGAGCTTTATTGAAATAAAAGGAAAAAGGCTCATGAGATTTTTTTTTTTTTTTTTGAGTTAGAGTCTCACTCTGTCACCCAGACTAGAGTGCAGTGGC